TAGTTAACTTTACATGCATCACGACTTAGAAGGCACAACCCAGTCTCTTCCATTACAGGAGTAATGGAACAATGTTTTTGGGACCACCTTTTTCCAAAGCAATAAATAAATAAATAAATACATAACGTTTCCTGCTCATTATTTACTGAACCTTTGTGCCTCCTCTCATCCAACTAAACCGCTATCCATTTATTGGATAAAAGTACTTGTTACATACTTGTGCCTTTATCAGGGCGCGCGATAACGCCGGGTGACATAAAAATGATATGTCACTGATATCGTTTTTTTGCACTGATATCGCTTTTTTCCCGCTATTCGTAAGGAATCTTGTGAAGTATTACACCGTTTTTCGGATCAGGAGTGTTAGAACAGCCAAATACAACACAACGCGAAGGCATTTTACATTCACAAGCCTTATTCGGACCCAGACTCATTTCTCCCGGCCATGTTTAGAAAAAAGGCAGGTTTAGAGCCAAATATCTAAGAAAATATTTATCGGATAAGGGAATGCATTATATCATTAGAATCGTCTCGCCATGGCCAATTTTTCAGTGAAAAAATGAAAATTCTTTCATATGCACTTTAATAATTGTTGAATTGTGGCAATGATTAATATTTTTATATTCTAATAAATTAAAATACTCATTAAAAATTCATAAACCTTGTGGCAAATCATGTCAGCCATAATATGTCATGTGGAGTGACTTTATATCTGATAAAAATCATCTTCATTAGTATTCTTTATATAATTATTCATCCTAATTAGTATGATTATATAATTGTTCGTCCTAATTAGTATTCTTTTGTAGTCGTATTTTAAGCTATTCAAAACACTCGAACTCGCGTTTTATGATATCTAAATATGATAAAATATATCATATTTAAATATGATAAAACACTCCTTCTCATGTTTTAAATACTAGACCCTGATAAGGGCACTTGTTATCATAATTTGGACGAGGTGATATCAGTTTTATCGCTTTCAGGACGATATCGTAAATATCTATCATGTTATGATATCGTCCCTCATGATCAAGCGATAAAACTGATATCGCCTCGCTCCTCATATGATAATCTATAGCTACTTACAACTAAAGTATTTACGTAAAAGTACTTACAACTAATTTTGAACTTGCATGGGGTTTTTTCCATCTATTTGTAATTTAAATTGTTCTGTATTATGAATTTTCAGGTTTTGGAATCTGTTTGGTTGATTTTTAAGAGTAATATGAACTTGGCTTTTAATATTGTCACTGTGTTGTTATCCTTGGTTTTCTCCAGTGGAACATACTTACTTAACGCAGGTTTCTCTACTGTAAGTTAAAAACGAATTTAGTGCAGCTGAATAATATCTCATATACTGGGCTTCTAGTGCAGTGCATCAGAAATGCAGTAGTCAATACCTAGGTTCTGTCTTTATTAAGACGCTCAAACATTTTCCCGATATATTTCACATTCATACTCTAGATAGCTTATCATTGGGCAGTGGCAGACATTTCGCGATATATATATATATATATATATATATATATATATATAGCTTAAGATTTTGGTTTACGAAACACAAACAGTGCTCAATACCATATAGATAGAGCGTAA